AAATTTTGATTAATATATTGGAATATTCTTATGCACATAAATGTAGTGAGTGAGACATACCAAATCTATCTTCTGTTGTTCTGCACCATTTTGACTTGATCTTTCTGTTTGTGTTAAGTTCTAGTATCAGAGCCAGCTGTGAAATACTGCTCCGAGAGCGTGGCTCCATACCTGACCTCAATCCTGGAGGAGCTGATGGGTCCGGTCAGCGCAGGCTTCGAGGCCGTGAGGCTGCTGCTGGAGGACAAGCTGACCCGACTCTGCAAGGATTTCCCTCAGGGGGGAGTCACAGAGGAACTTCAGAGCGTAAGAGAGCATTTACTAATACGTGAAAATACAACATTTTGGCACAAGTGCTTAAAATAAATATTTATCTGCTGATTTCAACATTTAGCCAAGGCTACATTGCACAACACTGGAAGCAAATCAGGTCATTTTTTCCATTGGGAGCAGAGTGAAGTGTTGGACTTGATTAGATCATGTTGGAATAACAATCATCTGAACTCAAGACTCCCTCGAGTTCTCATGAATCATGCCTGTCCATTCGTAGGCTTTGCAGCAGGTGGGTCGTGACCGGATGGAGGACTGTTACCAGCATGTGAACGTCCTGAAGGAACAGCTCCAGGAACTTCGCAACCGCTTCAAGTTCTCCAACTCGACACGAGTAGTTCACGGTACCCAAATTCAAATGCAGCAGGTGGGTGTCATCTGCAGCTTTTAGAGTGACTGGGCGTTGTTAGACTTGGTGGGGCTTTTAGTTAGTTTGTGTAATGAAATACTTCATCTGGCCTTCTGACTCAAGTGTAATTGCATAAATCTTTTCAAATCTTTTTTCAGACCTTAGTAGTGGATATAAACAACTACTGGAATCATATATGTCATATAGACTGCTCCACCAAAAATGAAGTCAATGGAGAGCATTGCCTCATCTTGTCATGAACTTTGGTTCCCTCTACAGGTCATGGAAAAATAAATGAACTGTGGCATGCCTGTTATTTCTTCCACTCTTTTTAGTTGATGGAGAATGCTGTGTACACATTTGAGCTCCTGCTTCAGTCTGCCTTAAAGGACAAACCTGACAAACAGGCCTCAGTCATGGAGAAAGCCAAGCTGCGTGTCCTCAAGGTTGGCTTTGCCCACATTTATAAAGTGTATACAATCAGCATTACACCGTTTTGACAATAGAATGATTCTAATAAATGTGACATAATCATTATGGAAACTTTTGCTTTCCACTTTAGCAATTTGACTATGACAGCAGCACAGTAAGGAAGAAGATTTTCCAAGAGGCCCTGGTTGACATCACTCTGCCAGCCATCAAGAGAAACCTGGCACCTTCCTGCAAAACTGTACGCAAGTTTTTTTTTTTAAGTTGAAATTACTCTTGAACATTTACCAGAATACATTATGTAGAGTTATTCTAGCAAGCTCTGTTTCTCTGATTAAATTAATGGAATGGAAATGGTAAAGTATTTAATAATTCTGGTTCAGATTTTGATTCATGTTAATTCATGAACTATTAATGGTTTCCTTAAGAGATTAATATTTGAAAAAAAAAATCGTTGCCAGTTGATGACATTATTTCTATAATAAATACATTTAAAACAAGTCTGTTAAACTTTTTAGAGGTGACATAGAATACAAATACTAAAGGGATAGTTCACTCCAAAATGCAAATTCTATTCTGGTTCAGATTTTGATTCATGTTAATTCATGAACTATTAATGGTTTCCTTAAGAGATTAATATTTGAAAAAAAAAATCGTTGCCAGTTGATGACATTATTTCTATAATAAATACATTTAAAACAAGTCTGTTAAACTTTTTAGAGGTGACATAGACTATAATAATACTAAAGGGATAGTTCACTCCAAAATGCAAATTCTGTCATTAATTACTCACCCTCATGTCGTTCCAAACCCGTAAGACCTTCGTTCATCTTCGGAACACAAATTAAGTGTTACATTTTTGATGAAATCCGACAGCTTTCTGACCCTGCATAGACAGCAACATAACTTCCATGTTCAAGGCCCAGAAAGAGAATAAATTGTTGAATGAAGTTGTTATTTTTGTTTTCTTTGTGCACAAAAAGTATTCTCGTAGCTTCATAACATTACAGTTGAACCACTGATGTCACATGGACTATTTTAACAATGTTCTCCTTACTACCTTTTTGGGCCTTGAATGTAGTAGTCTATGCAGGGTCAGAAAGCTCTCGGATTTGATCAAAAATATATTAATTTATGTTCCGAAGATGAACGAAGATCTTACAGGTTTGGAACGACATGAGGGTGAGTAATTAATGACAGAATTTTCATTTTTGGGTGAACTATCCTTTTAACTATATCCTAAACAAAAAATACTGAACAAAAATATGGAAATATATTCATTATTTGTAAAATACTACTGACAAAACAATGTATATCTTTAGATTTACTAAAAAGAACTATATGTTTAGAGTCATTCCAGGTATCAGAATGTACTGGCTTTGTTTTATGTGTTTATTTCACTAAAAACAACCAACACATTTGAGCCTTTTGTTCAGGAATTGGACTTCACTGGGAGTGCTGTATGTGTTTGATTCACTAAGAAGAACCGACTCATTAGCCGTTTGTTCAGGAATTGGACTTTGACGGCAGCACTGCCCTGCTGAAAAAAACAGCATATTCTGGTTAGGTATGTTTTGAAGCATGGCTGCTGGTTTTAGCTGGTCCTTAGCTGGTCATGTGCTGGTCCTGAGCTGGTCCTGAGCAGGATCTAGTTGCTTAGAACCAGCTCATGACTAGCTAAGTACCAGCTTAAACCAACTCAAACCAGCAGCCATGCTTCAAAACAGACGCTGGTTTTTTCAACAGGGTATATGTGTTTGATTCACTAAAAAGAGCCAGTTCATTAGAGTCAATCAGTCAATAATACAATAAGTAAATTTTACAGCACTGTAAACACTATCAGGAAACTCCTTCAGGCTACTGTAATGCGGAATTCTGTTCGCGTTTGGGTTTCTGTCCTTGCTGACAGTAATACGATGTGTTTGTGCCAATTAATGTATTTGGTAATGGTCAGCCTGTCATGATTTTGTTTGATCTTCTTGCACAAATACAGTACAGTGGTGATTAGTCACCACTTTCAGTTAGGGGTAGTTTTGTGTGAAACATTCGTTGAATTCTTTTTCTCTTTTTGCAGGAGCTTCAGAATTTTGAACAGTTCATCTTTGCTGATTACACAAACTTTGTTCAAGTGGAGAATGTCTACGAGAACATACTGCTCAACCTTTTGAATAATGAAGTTAACAAAGGTAAACAGTTTGAACTGTTTTCAGTGTCTGAGTCATATGAATAACTTCAAAATACCAACATCAACGTATTTCCTCAATATTTTTGCCGTACAGTGGTAAAGGAGGCAGCCAGTCTGAAGAAGAACAACCTGTTTGCTGACAGTACTGACCTGCAATGTGTTAGTCAAAGCAGCCTGGCTGACAGCCGCACGCCGCCCCTCTCTGCCCCCTCCAGCCCACCACAGGTATTGGCTTCTGTGGCTTTCCCTCAACAAGCAGAGCAGAAGATCACCTCTCCATCAAGAGGATCCGTCAGTGAGACACGCGATGCTCCAGTCATTCCTACAGTGAAGATTACACTATCTTCTCCAGAACCTACATCACCATTAAATGTTTCTGAAACAACTCAACCAACGTTACCTAATAATTCATCACCCATTCCAGAGGTCTCAGAGACTCAAGTGTCCTCAACCAAACCAGAAACCATCTTATCTGCAGAAGATTCATCTCCACAACCAGAGACCCCTTCTTCTAAAGCAAAGGATGAAGTTACAGAAGGATCTTCTGTTAGTACAGACCGAGCAGTCTCTCTCAACTCAACAGCTGAAGAAACTCCTGTTCCTCTCGTTATCGCCTCTGAAACCCTAAATGTGGAAGCAGATGAAGAAAGTGTAAGTCCTCCTAAGTCTGAAATCAAAGAGGAATCTGAACATATCGTCCAACCTGAAGTTAACCTGACAATCAACGCTGAAGTTCTCCCAGACGTATGTGTTGAAGACACTGCTGTGGATGCCAGTGTTTCTGATGAGCACGTTGTTGTGGACAAGGCATGTGAGGCAGTGACTTCTAGTGATGAGAATAGAAATGAAACACAAGACAGTTATGCCGTGGATGCTTCTCCTTCTCTTTCTCTCGACTCGGTTCCTGATGGTCTGGCAGGGGGCGCTGTTGCTTTAACATCAGATCCGGAGAACCATATTAGCGCTGTGAGCACAGATTCCCAGGAAGAGACCGCGGACTGTGTGCAGGCTATCAGAGATCTCATCATGGAGGTCATCGAGGTAGAGGATGCAGTGAGACCTTGTGCTGAAAATCAGCCTTAAAACGGTTTGAATGATGTTCTGATGTGTTTTAATCAACTATTCAGCTCTGCTAACAAAACCAACTACAGTGTTTCCATTTAATTTTCTATTTTTTAGTTACATAATTTTTTCATACACATTTTCTATTTTCAGTAATAATCTAAATATTGACATTAAATTATGAATTTCTAAAAAATAATTTGACTTGCATAGAAACCAAGTGCCTATGTAAACAGAATTCTTTTTGTAACACTTATAACATATTAACAAAAACTATATACATACACATATATAGATATATATATATATATATATAGATGGCTGTTTGTACTTGCAGTTTTTTTTCAATACTTAATTTTAATGTTGAAACATTTTTTTTTTTTAATGTGAGAAAAAAAATAGAAACTCTACATTTTTACATGGTACACAGATGTTTTTGGTGGACTGACTAATTTATTAATACGTTGTGCTGGTTTGTACAGACAACTCATTCTTTTTAGTAAATAACAGGAGATTGTGCTGATCACTAAACTATTATTTTGTACCATGCTGTAGATTTTCTGAAAATGAGACACAGTGCCTTTGTACATATGATTTTCACAGTAAGAGTCAGTTAAATAAATTTCCACAAAACAGAGACAATTCATCAGTGCATTGTTTTATTTCTTCTGTTCGCAGTTAAGGTCAATTCACATTAATCTGTCAAACTCACAGGATCATTATAGCAGCGAAGGCCAAGATGTTAGGAGGCACATTTTGTGTCTGGAAATACCGAGCGGTCCTGAATTCATTGTGATAAATTAAAATTACAGTACTCTATAAATACAACTTAAAATCGAACAGACACATGCTACAGCTCAATCAGAAACATAACCAAATTAAAGAAACAGCATAAAATAGTACCAGAGGCAGCATTTAGCACTTTACTTAAAGTGTTATAAGACAACCTTTTTCACAGCAATGAACCCTGTACATTATTAGGTAGTTAATTCATAAATATCTCTTAGAGGAATAATGCCTTATATAAGCTAACAGACACAGTATATAGCTTTGTTATACATGACAATTAGTGCAAGTTATTTTGAATAAAGTGAGTGATGCTACATTATGAAGCTGTTAATGCAGTTTATGCATGTATGCAGTCAACTCTGGTTAATGAGAACAGGATAAATCAGTCAATCAGTAACATTTTAGCTGATTATCATTTAGTGGATATGAAGTTGAGAACAGATTCATTCCAGTTCAATTAATATACTGTATACTATTAAAGTGCACTCCCTAAAACCTAAAAAAAAAAAACATAAAATGTATAAATAAAAGACTATTTTGAAACTTTAGACATTAGTAAGTCAGTTGTTTTACGCAAGATTAAGACATCTTAAACCCAAATTAAGTCAACTGAACTACAGCACTTCATAATATCCTTCATAAATAATAATACATTATATAAGATAATGTAATGTACGCAAATAATCTGTTAAGCATGATTACACAATGCCTAACAACATATTTGCATACATTCAAACAATGAGAAAAGTCCATTTATAACTTATATAAACATTTGAATATAAAATAACATTTTGCATATTTGAATGTACATGAACTACTGATCTTTTTGTTAATGAATAATTAAAAGTTATTATAAAGCATCACCAAGCATTTTACTGGGGTCTCGCTATTAAACCTGCCTTTAAATCCAAGGGTGGGCTCACATTTTCTGGAAGAGATTGGTTGGTTTGAGCGTTTGAGTTTTCTAGGAGATAAAAGTGGTCTTGTAGTGAGCGGTGAGATGGTGTTATGCAGCAGCTCTATCTGGTGGATCCGTAGCCGTGGAAGAATGGCTCGTCAGGACGAAAGCCGTAGGCAGTGGCAGGACGTCCGTCGGCTCCATTGCTGAAGAAAGATGTGAATCAAGTGAGCATAAATTCTGTTGATCGTGTTACATCTGTTACTGTTAACGTTACCTCTAAGAGGCACTAGATGGCCTTCTACCCTTTATATATATATATATATGTAGTATACTATATACTCTACTTAGTTTAAATATACTATATCTAATATATTTTATAATTTAATAATATAAACACCACTATACATACATATATCATTTATATGTATATACGAAAATCATTATCTAGCTGGCTTTTTTTAAATACCAAGAATTACTAGTGATTTTTTTAGTTTGAAGCATCAGGCAGAAGAAATTAGCCACACATGAGTAACATTTTATACTGTATGCCATAGTTTTACCAAAAAAAAATCATTTATTTTCTCACATACACAGATATGTTATGAAAAATAAATAATAAAATGTATCAATTTCTGTGGTAGTGGTTCAAGAACACTGGACACATTTCATAACCTGACACCAATAACGATTAGTCATTAAAATTATGCTAAATAAGAAGTGAACACAAAGAATATAATAAAATAATGCACTAACTATATACTTCAACAAGATATAACACAAAAAAGAATCAACCAACAATTGTTCTGTGATATCTTGTTGAAGTATATCGTGTTAGTGCATTAATTTATAATATTCTGAGTTGACGATGTGACATCAAAAATTGAATCCATTATATGAGTATAAAATTAAAACTGCAAGCTTCCTTAAAAACATTTACCTGCTGTCCAAGATACCACAATATGATCTAGGCTGCATACTGTCCCACATAAGACTGCCAAATGCTAAGATTTCAATTCAGTGAGCTCTGCATGCCAGTGTAAGCATAAGCCTTTATACTAGTTTAACATACTGCATATTATTGGCCAACGACAGTGTATAATACCGACTGCGACGTGTATTAAATATTCAAAATAGTCCCAAAATTGTTACATTATTCATGTAAATCTGATGAATTAGTATTAAAACAAAGAATCAAACTAAGATTTAACAGTGCAGAAGTGAGAGTAAAACAGCAGAGATGTGACACTTGCACCTCGACAAGCGTTTACACTCATTCAGGACGCACAGAGCCAAAAAAGTTCTGCGGTTCTAGAAACAAATTGGCCGTGGGCTCTGTCTGCCTACCTCTAAACCAACAGGTTCAAGACTACAGCATTTAAATTATGAGCGGTTTGCTTTGCCCCATGTGCCCACATTACATTGTGTTGTTTTTAGCCTCATATGACCTCCAGTAATCAAACACAGCTCCTCTTAGCACCCCGACTCACACACTCTGCTGTCTAAAATATGTATTTTTCCTATTGGCCTGCCCGATCTGTCAGGCTGAATTTGAACAGCCTAAACCAACAGGTTCAAGACTACAGCATTTAAATTATGAGCGGTTTGCTTTGCCCCATGTGCCCACATTACATTGTGTTGTTTTTAGCCTCATATGACCTCCAGTAATCAAACACAGCTCCTCTTAGCACCCCGACTCACACACTCTGCTGTCTAAAATATGTCTTTTTCCTATTGGCCTGCCCGATCTGTCAGGCTGAATTTGAACAGCGGGTATGAGTGATTCATGTGCGGGTCGGCGCCACCTGTAGGTGCTCCGAGCCTCTGTTTTTGACTCCCAACACCTTCATTTTACCTCAGCACTTGGCCTTTCCTTGAAAGCAAGTTCTTTAGCAAGAAATACACGCTTCCAGAGTTTGGGATAATCATCTACAGAGGGAGAGCTTTTATTGCGCTGAGAATTTATAGTTGCGAGTTATCAAGAGTTCATTTCGCGCTTCAACTCTGTATCATCACGTCATTAATTACGGGATGATATTAACGCCCGAAAATGACACGATGACCCCATTCTGACAAGAAAATGAATATGAATGGGAATTTATTCTACGATTTATCTCCACGACTGACCTGGCCTGTGATCCGTAGCGAGCACATTCCTGTCCAATTATGAGGCAGCCTGTCACCTCTTCCTGCATGGGGCTTCAAAACAGGGCAATAAAAGCTGAGTGGGGATGGGATTGACAGCTCACAGGGAGCCAGGTCAGCCCTGACGTTCTGGGAGGGGAAACGGCCAAAGGTGCCCATTAAAAAAAAGACCCTTTTAACCAGACATTGTTTCATAGCTCAGAAGAGTGTGTTTGCACAGGAAATGGGTCTCGGCTCTTTTATAAAAGGACGTTTCTCCTCCTTTTTTCCCCAAGTTGTTCTCCATCCCATGCTTTGATCTCCCGTTCCTGTCACTTCTCCAGTTACATGCCCTGCCTTGGCTGTGTCAAATCAACAGCACCCCCTTTCTTCCCCTTCCTTTGCCTGATTGCGACTCCACATCCCTGTTTTCTATTTTCCTCCTGCGTTCTCGTCCAAGCTCCCCAAGGCTTTAGGGACACGCAGCGCAGCGCACACGGCTTGAATAAAGGCGGATTTGTCAGTCTGATGCGTGCACAGAAAAGACACACACAGAGAACTGGTTTTCCTCGGGAACATCAGAAGCCCATCTGCAGACAGTGTGTCCAGCACCTCATCAATCTCTAGGGGTGGGAATCAACAGGATCTGGTGATTATTATATGGGTATCTAGGACAAGTGCGATAATACTGTGTACAGTTATTAAAATATATTGTGATCTTGTAGGCTACTCGCTTGTTTCTCTTTCATCAGTTCTGGATTTGTACTTTGAACAATCACCACAAAAATCGCAAAGCATTCTATATTATGTAGGCTAAATATATTTATATACTGTATATTACACATACACTTTACATTTATATGCCTTATTTTTGCTATTCATTATTACATTACAACATTGATCCTGCCAAAATTTGGAAGAATCGGCCAATCTGATAAATTCGGATTAATTTCCATGATTAAACGGGGATGATTGGCTTTAAAGAGGTCTTCCAAATTAGGAGTATTAATTCCCAAATATTGAAATCCAAAAAGTGCTAGACGAAAGGGTGACTTTGAAATGGCTTCAGAGGAAGCATATGCATATACAAAGCTTGAGATTTGTCAGGATTAATCTTGTATCCTGAAAAATTGCTATATTTTTCAATTACTGCAAGAATTACATCATAGAAGTGTCAGGGTATTAAAGATGCCAGTATGATTTTGTTGTTTTTAAAAGAAGTGTCTTATGCTCACCAAGGCTGCATTTATTTGCTCAATACAGTAAAGCAGTAATATTATGAAGTATTATTAAAATAGTTTTTTACTTTAATATATTTGAAAATGTCATCTATTCTTGTGATGTGAAAGTTTACTCCAGTGTCACATGATCCTTCAGAAATCATTCTAATATGCTGATTGGGTGCTCAAGAAACATTATTTCTTCTTATTATTATATATTGTTCAAAACCACTTCAATGGTGCTGCTCAATATTTTTGTGGAAACCTTGACACATTTTTCCAGTATCTTTGATGAATAGAACGTTGTTGTTTTTTATGTAACGGTATAAATGTCTTTACTGTCAACTTTGATCATAAAAGTGTCCTTGCTGAATAAAAGTATTACTTTCTTCTTCAAAACAAAAAACATATCTTATTTATCTTAATAACCCCAAACTTTTGAACAGCAGAATTTGTAAAAAAAAAAAAAAATCTCTGTTGTCATCTGATGATCATCATATTGCTTAGTTTTGATCAAAATTAAATTCTGCCATACAAAGCACGCAAATGACTTTAGTTAAGCAACCCATCTGGATTTTATTTATACATAAATTAAAGAATGAAACTGTCACTAAATGCGTTACAAAACAATCTTATCAGGCAGTACGTCACTGCCTGAACTGCGCTGCTTGGCATACACTGATAAAATTATGTCGTACAACTGTACATTTTTGATATGGCTATTTTAGTACCAATATACCATGGGAATCATGATGGGCCACTCGAGTTAATCAAATACCTGTCTCTCACGTTGGCTCGTGAAGTAAACCACTCCAAAAGGCCTGCGTTCACACACATCGTTTCACAAGCGTCTTAAGTAAAGACTGAAACTCTATTGGATTATTATGGTAACCTCTGTCACTCAGAGCTGCCCACTCAAATTAAACCATTCATCCCAGGACCCTAATGTTGCCCCCCAACCCTCTGTGTATATTTGAAATGTATCGCTTTACAAAGAGCCGCTGGAGAACTCGCCCCTCCATCTGGATCCCCGCTTCTATCCTCACCCACATGACAGCCCAGCGGCACTCAGCGCCCCAGACCTCAGTCTGCGAAGTGCCCAAATCCCCACCCAGCCAAAACAAACAGGCCAACGAGCAGCGCATTCTCCATACAAAGCACACAGCGCATAATAAACACATCCAGTGGAATAGATCGCATCAAGTACACACTATTAGGGCAAGTTTAGACTACAAGAGCAAGTATGTACTATCAGAGCTGCATATCGAACACAAGTGTGGGGGATCCATTTCCTCACAGATCCGCTCTTTGGCAGACTTAGAGAGTCAACGTGAGCACTGGATTGGATGGAGAGGTGAAATGTTATTTCATCTGTACTCATATGTGTGTGTGTGTGTTTGTAGAGGAATGTGGACAATATATTTGGCTGCATGGAACTTGAAAGGCATGTTTATTTTTGGGCCAAAAGAGTATCGTTGACAGAGAGAAAGAACGTCAGACAGAGGAATATTGCCTGGTGCTTTGTTGAACAGCTGTGATCATACGGTCCAAATGATTAAAAGAAAATGACAAAGCCAAAGACGTTTAATGTAGAAGATTTAACAATGCTGTTTTATGAAGACCCAAAAACCAAACTGGTGTGAGAAAACAAGTACGGTAACAATGGCCTGATGGTCTAGGGACTGTGCGGCAAACAGATTGTCACTTGCCGTTTTCAATGTACTACATGTTTGTGTTATTATGCCTTGCAAACTAAGTGGATTTTTGTGATGTATTAAAGATCGTTGTTGAATTATACTGATATAAGTACATCACTGATGTAATATTATCTGTACTGTAGATCGCTAACATTAGGATGACTTGTAAGAGTGCTGGAAGCATCAATTAGAAGAATGGACCAATGTTATGAACAAATCAGCAGTGTTTCATATGCCAATGTTTTCAAGCAAAAGTGTTATTTCGATGTATGGCTATTATGGAGTTTTTTTCTTTTTTATGAATAACCTTTAACAAAAAATATATGTATCATAGGCTACTTAAAAAATATGAACTACTGGTTGGTATTTGCAGCCTAAGACAGCAACTGTACGAATGCAAACGGCCTGACTTGTAGAAAACACAAGCTTGAGAAAGACTTCCTAGAAGATGCCAGGACGGGAAAAAGTATTTTATTTTGTCCCCTGAAGGCCAGTTATGTTAATCACAGTTTTTTGAACGGTTTCTTCATAATCAGTTTTGCATGACCATTTTTGACTTCTTTCTGAACCATAGAAATAAAGTTGCAGCCCTTCTACAGGGTTATTATGTACCCTAATGTCATTCCAAATCTGTATGACTTTCTTTTTTTGTGCAACATAAAAGAAGATATTTTGAGAAATGTAAATAAATGTACATTTTTTGTCAAAAATGTAAGTCGATGAGCTCTAGTGTTGTTCCCAACGTTCTTCTGTGTTCCACAGAAAAAAACGAAGAAAAAGAAGAAAGTCACATAGGTTTGGAAAGACATGAGGATGAGTGATGAATGTATGAATGAATTTAAATTTCAGGTGAAGTACCCCTTTAAGATGTCTTTATATAAATAAGCACCATTATGATTGGCTTGCCTTCATCATTAGGCATTAATATGAAATTAATATACCATATGTGCTCATGAATGTGACATCATTAATTTGATATCAGTAACTATTTCAAGGAAGCTTGATATGCTTCCATGATATGAACCTAACAATTAATGTGGTAGTTTACAGTTCAGACTGCTATAGCACTATTCTTTTTTCTTTTTAAATATTTCGTTTGAATTGCCAGCCCTATTAAGTAACAAAATACATTATAAAGAGTTTTTATTACATATGTATTTAATGCAAGGGAAGCTGATGAGGGTAACAGCTGCTCACTCACCAGGCGTTGAAGTCTCCATTCTGAGAGTGGAACTGGCTGTAGAAGTCTGGACTGAGGCCTGGCTCTGGGGCCATCATACCGTCTGCGCACACACGCACAGAGTATATAGAGCAAACAAACGTACAAGACAGCGACCCAGCAGAGCCACTTCCACCCAGCAGCTCTCCTCATTTATCTTCCTGACAACCTCTCACTACAACAAGCCTTTGATGACACCAACTCGACGGACGAGCAAGCCAAAATACAGCATCACAATCCCCATGCAAAAATCTGGAAATCTAAATGTAAGGTTTTTAACATTCTGTGTCTGTCTAGCTGTGGCACAGGATATCAATCAAGTTGTGTTAGCAGACAAGAAAACACTGACTGTCTTTCGTTGTCTCAGCCATGAGGGGTGTTTGGGGTGTATGTGTGTTTTCTAACCAGTGCTGTAGAAGAGATCGGGCTGCTCCAGGGCATCCGGATCATCTCCGTACAGGTAGGGCTCGGCGTCCTCCATCTGTCTGCTTTCTACCATCTCCAGCCACTGTGAGTTATGCCAGCGAAACTTCTCGCTTTGGATCTTCTTCCCCCACTCTTCATCATACTCCTTTGCAGAACACACACAAACATGTATATTTATTCGCCTGAGATGTGTTACTACCCTCTAACCTAAATTATACCACACAGCTGTGCAAATTCATACATTTCAAGTTGTCAAAACGGCGCTACCACTCTGTATCTCAGTGCCAGCTCCACTTGAACTCCCCACAAGAGATTTCCAATGAATATTTGAGTGAGAGGGTCCCAAACACTGTCACGCCTGGCAATCTACCATTTACCGTTGCGCAGACTTCTAACACCGTCCGGACCCTCCACAGCAGATATATTTCATCCCACAATGAGGGCTTTTGTCTGAGCAGGGTTTTCCCTATAGGCCGTGTCTGCTGATGATTCATACATTTCAAGTTGTCAAAACGGCGCTACCACTCTGTATCTCAGTGCCAGCTCCACTTGAACTCCCCACAAGAGATTTCCAATGAATATTTGAGTGAGAGGGTCCCAAACACTGTCACGCCTGGCAATCTACCATTTACCGTTGCGCAGACTTCTAACACCGTCCGGACCCTCCGCAGCAGATATATTTCATCCCACAATGAGGGCTTTTGTCTGAGCAGGGTTTTCCCTATAGGCCGTGTCTGCTGATGGTGCCACAGAGAAACAGAGCTCTGGTTGAATCCAGTGAAGTCAGTGATTAAAGGTGCAGAGCCCACAGACTGGGTGGAGTGCCACACACAACACACACCTCGCCCACAGCCGTACGTTTTCTGCCCGGCCTGCACTTCATGGTGAGATGGGGAATCAGTTGATTTTGTGTTATTGGATTCCTTTGCCAACGCATGTCAAGAGTGTCTACATCAGTCTACCTCAATCTTTATGAACCTCTTCTAATGAAACAGTGCTGAACTAGTGCTCTTCTGAGAGAAGTGTGACTGCATAATTGGCCCTCAATTATTTAAGTCCATAAACAATATAAATCAATCAAATCACATATACACTACTGTGCAAAAGTTTGGGGTTGGTAAGAATTTTTATCTCTTTGAAAGAAGTTTCTTGTGCTCAAAAGGGGTGCATTTATTTGAAAAATATAGTAAAAGCAGTAATATTGTGCAATTTTATTACAGTTTACAGTTTGTTTGTTTTTAGCCTGTGATGGCAAAACTGAATTTCCTGCAGTCATTCCTCTAGTTTTGATCCTTCAGAAATCATTCTAATATGCTGATTTGGTGCTCAAGAAACATTTCTTATTATTATCAATGTTGAAAACTAGTTGCGCTGCTTAAAAAATTGTTGTGAATACATTTTTTAGGATTCTTTGATGAATAGAAAGTTCAAAAGAATCAATTATTTGAAATAGAAAACTTTTTTAACATTATAAATGTCTTTACAGGCACTTTTGATCAATTTAATGTGTTCTTGCTGAAAAAAGCGGTTCCTTATTGGGGACCTGCACCGTTTGGGAAAGGAGCTTATTCAACTTTCAAGAGTCATTCTTTACACAAGAAATTTAAGTTAACATGAAATCAAAACTGACCTTAGTTACTTTTTAAGAGAGTACAATTTTGTCACAACTACCCCTATCAGCATCTGTTTTCACTACCGTTTTAAACAATATGAATGAGTTGAAGGGATCGTTCACTGAAAAAATATTTATTTTCTAATGTATGATTTTATCTAATGTGATGTTTGGGTATATTACTGTTTAGTATTTTTACACCATGGGTCCAAAACAAACTTCCCCTTTGGTAGGGCTGTGCAAATAATCGAATGCAATTTTCATGCGCATCTCGTCAGTAAAGCCGGTTCTGTGATTAGTAGTAAATCTCCAGCACGTGCTTTCAGATGGAGCGGCATTTACTTCACAGAGCCGTAGATCACTGACAAGCTATGCAATATCGCGTTCATAATCGGCAATGAATTGCCTGCGATTTTGAACGCGATATTGCGTAGCTTGTCAGTGAACTGAGATATACTACTAATCACAGAACCGGCTTTACTGACGAGATGCGAATGAAAATCGCATTCGATTATTTGCACAGCCCTTACCCTTTGGGGATGGAAAACTGAATTGAACTTAAACTTGAAAAATGAAAAAAGAAATTCATACAGGTTTGGAGTTAAAGGGAACATAAATGATGAATTTTCATAAATATTTATTCTTGGGTGAACTATCCCTTTAAGAAAATTAGTTGTGTTAAATGCTTAAACTGAACTGAAATGAATGAATTTGTTACTTTCTCACTGAGCAGCCGGGAAGCATGTCTAACATCCTTTGCACAAAGCTCATCCCATAAATAACGATTATAAAGTTAAACCATCTCTGCTAAGACAAAGTATTTAACGTAGCCATACTAACTGAGGTTAAGTTTTGTTAATTAACGTAGCATTAGCTCTGTACGGTGAGGCAACAGAGGGGCGCAGGGTGCAGGAGGGGGGCTGCTGGAGCTCAGAGCTCAAGGCCAGCTCTCTGTCCCAGGGTCTAAAGGCCCACAGAGGCGTCCTGCCGCCGCCTGCTCTTGTATACATACATGGTCAGCACTGAGCAAAAACACAGACACACACACGCGCACACACACGTCTCTGATTTGGATTTGAGTGCACATATGTAGTGGGGTTGTTTGTGAATACTTACAGCGATGATGTCCAGAGTGTTGTCACAAACCTGCCGGATCTCCACATTTTTGTCGTGCATAAGGTCAATGAGGTAGGCTGGGGCCTCTTTGAAATACAGTTAAGGAGTTCATAGTTCAATTACCATAATTACAATTTTCAATCAGTGAAAAATATTCATATCTTGATATTTTATCATGCCATGTAAAAACCCATATGCACATTTTTACATTTCATTATAGCCATGATTCCTCGTGCACTGTCTTTGTTTATAAATATTTAGTAAGAGCTCTTAAGTGGGCATATTATTAATAACTATTATTTGATAATATTATAAATAGTTAGTATTTAGTATTATTAATATAGTGAAGTACCCATTTTGGCCATCTTTGCCATACAAACTATACAAAATATTTAGTTATTAAAAAGAACAACTGAGTATCAGTGTAAAATTGCCATCATATGATTACAATAATTTCAAGTAAAATCTGGCAAATATCTTACATTGGAGCTGAAATCTTCAATTTTGTGGTCTTGGTCTTGGTCTTTAGACTTCTTAAAACCACATAAAAATGGCCTTTGTCTGGGTTTGAGTCCCACTGGTCTGGTCTTTGGCGGTCTGATTTTAGTCTGTACTGTAAAATGTTTTGTCATGAAACTTTAAAAAAGTGCTTCACAGTGTAACATCAAAAACATTCAATATGTCTGAATCAATAGAATAAAATAGATCCATAGGGTAACAACTGCAAGCTGCCACTTTTTACAGTGCAGTCAAACTTGCTTTTTAACATTCTCCTTCTATCTGGATGTGAAAATAATCATGTATTCTTACATGTAGCTGCAATATTCAAGATCGAAGAACCCAAAAGTATCAAAGCACCAGTGAACACAGGCCAAACAGCCGTTAAAGACCATTTACAAAACATCTGCGCAGATAAACATGCCCATGCACGGAAAACCAATTTATTGTACCAAGGATACGAGTGTCCTTAATGATGACATCTCTGGTGGCCTGGTGGAAGACCATCTGGTAGAAGACGTAGATGATCTGACACACAAATTCATCGTCTTCCTGTTGGGCTGGTAACAGCAACACAAGCAGATGAAGAACATTACTTTGACCTCACAAAATATAATATAAAGAAGAATTGGACCAAAAATATTTCCTCACGGACATATGTTATTATATGAAGGCATATAATGTTTCCTTATCACGAGAATATCTGCACGTCAGCATTAAGCTGAAATGCGATACAGCAAACCAACAAACACGCACACTCCAGTGCAGCTGCGCAGGCATTTCCTATCCGATTGTGCCTTTTCATGCGAGCTGACGTTCAAAACCTCCTCCGGTGGATCATGTTTATGTATGAAGGCTCTCGTGAGAAGCCGCCATTTGGGGAAAGTATCAACTTTTCCTCTGAAATGATACAGAAAGCTCCTATGGAGAACTGTGCGGTTGTAGCTGCCCCCTCCTAACTTTAATAAAAGCTTCAATTTTGATCTGGCTCAGAACGCTCTCGTCCCCTGGGATCGAAATTCCTCCAGAAGAATGATAGCAAAGAGGCTAGCTGCTCCATGGGACCAGAAACTGAATACCGCTACAGCAAGGAGCTGCACAAGCTTTGCACAAGCTACAAATAACATCACAGAGAACATGTCAGCGCCTCTTCAGATGAGAAAGAGCCAGCGAATGAGTATACGAACACAAGTGCTGAAAAGTTATGTATAAATAAAACAATACCCAAGCATCTGTCATTGCGGCGTTGCCACATAATGCTTATCGCGAGGAAAACAAATGTCAGATTTGTTATTGCATTGTTGTGTTCAAAGTCATAAAATATTATATGGCATGTAGTGCAAAAACATTTCAGATGTTGAATTTCATGTAATTGAGACCATTGTGTCTGGAGTGGGAAAAAAAAGTTGCCAAGCTGTATATGTTTGGACGGTCACTATTTTGGCCCTCCACCTTCTTGGCTCCTAAACATTTATTCTTTTCATGGCAAGGAAGAGCCCCGCCATCAGGCATTTATTGAAATGAGGGCTCACATTGAGCAGAACCAGCAAATCTGATGCATGCCATGAACCTGGTGCTTTCCTGTTCCTGAAAACACTGTCACTTCCCTGCACATCATGCACAAAGCGAGAACCAGCCCCCTGTGTCCCACGTAGCCATGGGCTGTTTATTTATTCCAATTTATTCTAATTTAATATTAGTTTAGTCTAAATAAACTCTTCAAAACTCATTTCATCAGATCACATTAAGGAAGACAAAGCATGCCAAATTGAAATCTGGTACTTGAGTGGCTACAGACACCGGGGTGGGGGCGGCTATGCGATTCGGCCAAACAAAAGTAGAAATCAAAACAGCACTGATCTTTTTCTCTGGAATTTATTTTTATGGTAAGCGATAATGAAAAAGATTTTGTGTCGAGAGGGTTTGGAGATCTGTTTGTTTCTTTAAGCACTCGTGCTCTGGCTCAATGCTAATAAATGTGTGTAAGTGTTGGCAGCGCACTTACCATTTAGCAGCTCAATAAGAGCAGGAATGATGCCAGACTTAGCCAGCATGACGGCACAGGAGTCGTCCATTGACACCGTACCGATCATGATCACCACCTCCAGGATCAGGTCATCCTCTGCTGAGCCTGAAACACAGAGGTTAAAGGTCAAGTCTGGTTTGGCATAATGAAAAATGGTATTTCATACTACTCCAATAAGGAATGCCAATGAATGACATACTACCTTTGCAAAAAAGTGCTTGTTAATTTGTGTCATTTAATTGTGACAAATAAATGAGGTTGATGACAAAAGTTGGGCCGTTTTTACACAAAATTGGATTACAAGAGAAACAAAATTACAATATTGTTTTTGGGATTATAAACGGACGACTCTCTCATAAATATGAGGTAATGTGATGTAGCACAATGCACTACTCTACAGATTAATATGTTAGGGTTTCATGCTGGATACTGTTTCACATACAACCTTTACAAAATAGGTAGTAGTAAAAAGCATATGAATACTTGACATTGGTAATTTGAAATACTCCATCTAAAACTTTTAAACAGCATTTTGAACAATTCTACATACCAGTTTTTTGAGTTGATAGTAGTTAAGCGACTACACAGACTATTTGTATTTCTTGAAAATGATTTGTCACACACAGGACCATTTAATGAATTATGAAAAACTTGTCAAGTTTGTGATCTAGCACCTTGACGTCAATAAAAAAGGCCCAATGACAGTAATAAAGTGTAGCATTGTACTGTATGTAGCAGGCTGTATATTAGCTTTCCATTACAAATCCATCCTGAAACAAACAGGTACAGGTTAGCTTTACCGGGTTTGAGGTGGTCTTTGAGGTAGGGCACCAGGTTGTACTCTTTCAGAAGGAGCTCCCAGTCCAGGTCAGGTATGGTGAGGTTTGCCATTGTACCCAAGCACTCAATAACAAACTCTTCATCACTCTCCTGCTTGATCTGAGCTGCCAGATCACCCACATAGTCCTGAAGGGTAAATGACAAAATATCTTTATTGTATATTTACAATAATATCTTACAATAATAATCCTGTGTTCATTTAGCACAGGAATTCCCAACCTGTAAGATACTTATGATTTCAATTTTTGCTTCATGAAATTACAAATTTAAAAATATTTGGGCTATCAAATATATAACAGAATACTACAAATAAATAAATAAATATAATGTTTTTTAAATTTTAATTTGTAATTTTTTTTATCATTATCATTTATCGTTCACAGTACATATTGTTAATTAATAGTGAAGGTCAACACTGTTAATGGTATGGCAGAATATTAAAATTACAATGAAGAGCTGTTTCAGAGGTCCATCGTGCTGTGAGATGTTCCTGATCATTTTCATCAGCAGCGGGTCCTTCAGTTTAAGTGCTCTTTTCATCAGCATCTTCAATCCATTACCTGCAGAGCAAATACGCAACTAACCACGATCAGCCAGAGATTGATCATAAGTTTGAACAGATTCCATGTATTATTTATTACAGAGAAGCAACAGTTGTCGCTGGTGTGTGACAGTACGCTTTATTACATGTAAACACAGATGTTTTTGACATGTTGCATGTTATTCCAGGAGAAATGAGATTCAGGCTCTTACCCTCACAGATAATCTGAGCATTAGTCTTGTTAGCAGCCAGGTTGATGCAGAATGAAATGAGCTCTGTGTCCATTCTCTCTTCGCCATGTTCAGAGAGCATTTGTATGAGCTGTTCACACACAAAACAGGATTTCAATTGAAATTACTTTACGCAGGGTATCAACATGAAAACATTAAATAACCAGACCACACTATAGCAGGGCTTAAGCGGTGGCCAAAATGAGTAGAACACTAGTATTTTCACCTGCTAAAAAATGGTTTTAAGTCTGTTATTTCTATCTTTTTCTGTAGTTTGTCAGTTGGAAAAATCAGTTTACATTTCTAAACGTTCATTTAGCCATTAATTGTAATATTCCAGTGAGATTTTTGTTTACACAAGGAGTCTGACAACAGTGCTCCACACAGATTTGATCTCATCATCATCATCCAGTCTGTCTGGAATGACATGAAGAAACAGAACAAACTGAGACAGACTAAATCCAGAAGAACTGTGGCAACGTCTCCAAGATGCTTCAAGAGACCTACCTGCAAAGCTACAGTACTGTTAAAAGTTTTAGGCACTTGTGTAAAAATGCTGTAAAATGAGGATGCTGTCAAAAATAATGTCATAAAAAGATTTTCTGTATCAATTAACTTCTAATAACTAAATGAAATCACCATTTGGTGTGACCATCCTTTGCGTTTTTCAGGTAGGTTTCTTGAAGCATCTTGGAGACTCTTTGTGCAAACAAAAATCTCACTGGATTATTACAATTAATGGCTAAATGAATGTTTGGAAATGTAAACTGATATTTCCTA